TAAATATGTGCCAATAATCTAAGGCCCGTATTGAATAAATTAAAAGTTCAAAGATGACATTGCACATGAGGGGAAAATTTAAGGACCACATTGAAAAAATTAAAAGTTTAGGAATCTCATTGCATATTGAGCCAAAATTCATGGACTATTTGTGTCATTACCCCTAAGAATTTCGATTTAAGGAATAGCTGTATCAAAGCTCATTCTTGGACCGGCATATAGAGGTTGATTTCAAGGCAATCTTATGTTATATTTTTGTCCTCGTGTTCTTTATCTTTTGTTATTTTCCCTTGCACATGGGTGCATTTATGATTGGAGTTTCTCATTTTTTTTATTAACTTTGTTCTCATGATACGATTATGTTTACTTTCTGATTGTCTACTTGGTAATAGGGGCTAGGAGGTTATGATAAAACCGTCCAATATTTACAATTTCTTTTTAGCTCGCTTTAATGATACCTTAATTATTCTAGATGACTACAAAAGTGTATACTGGGATGTGTATCCGCCAGACATAAGAGCGAAGGGGCGAGTAAGAAAACGTTCCAAGGAAAATCAATGAGATGGCTTGATAAATGGGAGATTAATTATCGGGAGGGTAATGGCTTGATTTCTTTAGTTAGAAGATGACGTGCAAGTTGGCGTGAATTTTTTTTTTTCATTTCTGAAATATAGCTACTCGTATTTTATTATAAATAATTAGTTAAATTCTATCTCTTTTTATATGAATCTCCCTCTTTTTTTACGGAATTCTTAACTCATATTATGTAAAACATAGAGACTTAGTAACAATACAAAATCTTAATTGTCGTCGTTATATAACATGAAAGGAATATTTTATACGTAACCATTAATATTATTATAATATTGTGTGGAGAGCGCAAGAATAGTTCCCCTTGCAAAGAGAATGATCAACATCTTGCAAATTAGAAGTCTAATGGACACTTAGTAAGAAGTTTTTACGGAGTACTTGTTATTTTGTCAAAGACCAGAGCTGTACCCACTAAGGATCCCCCACTGCTAGCGCTACTCGCCCTACCATAGGAGCATCCTCACGTTCCAGGGGCACATGTACCTCTACTTTCCTTGCACTTCATGTCAGCAAGCCCAGTTCAAGATTCGAGTCTTACTTCCAGAGAACTCCTCAAACTTTTGCCGCCAGAAGAGCCAATCCTCATGAACAGCCTAATGTCATACCAGTTGGGTCGTGTGTTTCGACTTTATTATGCACTGGAGAAGGTTCCTTTCTTGGCGAAGGACACACTCGGACCCGTGGTATTACGAATTTTGCCCCATTTGGAAGCTTGTTAAGTTCAGCCCACAAAAAGATACTGCAGAAGGCAACTCGAGATAGAAAGTAATAGATTTGTTGAAAAACAGCTCTGCAAAAGCTCCCGTATGGAGTAAAAGAAATCGACTGCACTAGCATTATCAGGAGAATCAGTTCGATCGAATCGGTAGAACCTACCATAGTGAAATGTCAATAGAATTCAACAATTATATGTACAGCTGCAATTGCACATTCAATCAGGAAGAAACGGTAATCAACCTGTGGCTTGTAAAGAGAGCATGTTCAGTGATTTCGATCAGAACTCCTGGTAATGATGTGAACATCTTGTATGGATAGGTCAAGATAAAAAGAACAGATCTCCAGTATGGGAGACATGGCATCTAGTTGATTCCATGTTGATGCGGCACCAGAATTCTTAGCTAGAGCAGCTTCGCGTTCCTGACGACGACGCTCTCTCTGAAACAAGGAAAGAATTAGGATGTTAAGATGAATAGATGTACACACGATATTGGGCGTCTTTTTCAATGTATCGCAATTTCAAGATAAACAGGACTATTCTGCATTTATCTTAATAGTTTGTATATAGTCCACCCACAGGCCACAGGAAATAATAGCACAAGCGTATCATCAGGGCTCGGTCACATGTCTCAACTTTTTGGAAATATGATACAACTGTTACAGCAGCAGTGTTCATGTTAAATTGATGGTAAACACCATCCAGCCTATGGAGACCGCTTCATCATCTAAGCTAGAAATGCTCTTGACAGAAGCGCATAACACAAGGGAAAATCAGAACACATAATCTTATTCTATGAAAAAGCATCTAAATAGTCAATGGAGCTAAATTACGAGTATATTACAACATAATTACTCATTTAGATCCAGCAGATAGTTATGATGATTAAATAGATTTCTGAGGAAGATGATTAGTAGCACTTATAACTCTTGTATCCCACATTTTCTGTTCACGCTATTATATCAAAGAACTTGATAGGCTAGATGCGCATATACGAAAACAAAACTTGAAGCCCAGGCTGTATTGGATGGATCCATTGATACAACTATTTTCCCAAAAAAGGACATGATGTAACAGAACCAGGATACATTCTACCAAATAGAAACATGGACTGACATTATGCAGAAGGCTCAGAAGTGACACATCTAGATCAACTTCTCTATCAAACAATCAGATATCAGCTATGACACAATCCTCAATAATAAGTTTTTCTATAGCTTTCCTTGGGAAGAGGGGATGGGAGGGAAAATGGGAGGAGGGTGAGGAAAATGGCTAAAAATTTGAAATTTTTGTGAAAGAATTTTCTCTCCCCTCCCCTCTTCACAAACAATCCCATAGAGTCAATGCAAAAGAGAATGAAAAACGACCATACCCTTCTCTCCCAGTAAGGTAGAAAGCAAATGAAGTCATAGACTGGAGTTATAGTTGAAACCAAAACGGCGCTGACTCCAGTAAACAATAACAGCGCCGTCATGGGGCGGGTCTTATGCGGCATTAGACCAAGTAATCAGATACTTCTCTGCAAAAATATGATTTGAAACTCCAGGTTAAGACCAGAAACCATTGATTCTTATGCAAATTAAGCTAACTCCGCACTCCTTGGATAATTAACAGACTGTTTTAAGTAAACAAGCCTTCATCCAAGTGTTAACTTGTGCACAGAAGAGAAGAAACACAAATGATTAAATAAAGAGGCGCGACAATGACAAGACAAGTTTTAGAGAATTGAACTTATGGGAAGACATCCACTCTCAACCCTAAACCCTAAACCCCACACCCTAAACCCCATACCCTACACCCCAAACCCTAAACCCTAAAACCCTAAACCCTAAACCCTTAACCCTAAACCCCTAAACCCTTAACCCTAAACCCATAAACCCAAAAATCGTAACCCCAAACCCCATCCCGAAACCTTGAACCCGAAACCCTGAACCCCTAACCCCGAACCCGAAACCCCAGACCCCGGACCTTAGACCCCAGACCCCCAACCCCAGGCCCCGAAACCTGAAACCCCATACCTCATACCCCAAAACCCTAAACCTCAGATCCCAGACCCTAAACCCTATTTTATGAAAATAGGATGATTTTTTTGAAACAAATTAAAACTACATGGGCTTAATTTGAACGATCATGAAAGTATGATGACCAAAAATTTTATTTATGTACGATTTTCGAGAGGATTATTTTGGTGATCTCTTAGTTGTCCTCTCTTCAATTACACAGCTAATAGCACCGCCCAACATTTGTGATTCCCCAGCATCATGTCGACCAACTTACATGATGCATGGAATCAATGCAAATGCACCGATATAATCAACCAGTATCGTATTACCAACTTTCAAAAGTATCGAGTTTTTCTTTCTTCTTTTTCTTATGCCAATCAAAAAGATTTTACCGTTCGAATCGAGTGTTAAGTAGAAATCCCTATAAAAGAAAAGAATACAAATCTGCTACAACAAGCTGTCTATCTATTTTAAAGTCCAAAAGCCAAAAGCCCTTGTGAAGGAGTCGAAGCGATTGATAAAAGACTGTTTCAATCTTGAAACGGTAAAGTTTGGTCGCTCCATTTTAATGTTTAGGGCGCGCATGGAATCCATTCTGGAGCAGAATTTCTGCACCAGAATGCATTCTGGAACATAAATGTGTTTGTTAAAAAATTTCCGAAATGCATTCTGGAGTAATTTTTGCCTTCTGGAATAAAAATGCATTTGTTAAAAATACTTGATTCTAGAATGCATTCTTGATTCCAAAATGAGTTTTGAGCAAGAAAATGAGAAGCTACTTTTTGTAGCTTCTCTCTTCCAGAATGCATTCTCCCTCTTTTCTCTCTTTTTCGTGGCCTTTACAACACATGTTGATAGCTCACTAATTTTTTTTTTTAGAAAATGCATAAAAATTGAAAAATTCCAGAAAAATTCATAAAAATTTCCAGAAAATAAAAAAAAGTTAGATTTTGGGAAAATAGGAAATTTGGTGAATTTTTTTCAAAAAATATAAAAAAATCAAAAATTTCGAAACTTCACGGAATGGCTTAGAAGTCACCCTTGAGTGAAATTTAAATTTTTTTAGGTGTCCAAAAAAATCAAAAATTGCAAAACTTCACAGAATGACTTAGAATACTTAGGCCACCCACTTTGAGTGAAATTTAAATTTTTTGAGGTGCCCCAAAAAAATCAAAAATTTCAAAATTTCACAGAATGGCTTAAGAATATATGTGGCCACCCATTTTGAGTGAAATTTAATTTTTTGAGGTGCCAAAAAAAATCAAAATTTTCAAAACTTCACAAAATGGCTTAGAATACCTTTGGCCACCCACTTTGAGTGAAATTTAAATTTTTTGAGGTGCCCAAAAAAATCAAAAAATAAAAAATTTTAAAACTTTACAGAATGGCTTAGAATACGTGTGGCCACCCACTTTGAGTGAAATTTAAATTTTTTTAGGTGCAAAAAAAATCAACAAATCAAAATAAATTTCTGTTCTAAAAATCAAAATTAGTCATGTTTTATCAAACAGATTTCTCATCCAGAAATCAATTTCTGGCAAAAATTTAATTTCTGGAGCAGAATGGTTACCATTCGTGCCCTAAGGGGCTCGTCAGCTGGATTTTCTGGATTGGCCCACGAAGAAGAAGAAGCAGCAGCAAAGGCCCAGCATTTGGGGAACTTGATGAGATCGCGATTCCAACGAGTTTAGCGAGTTTGACTTGCCATCCTGAAGCGATTTCACCGAACTTTCAATCCCAGAACAAGGAACGTGGCTTATGGATTTGAACGTTGCCAAACCCCAAAGGTAATTTTTGTCTCCCTCCCTCTCCCTCTCTCTCTCTCTCTCTCTCTCTCTCTCAGAGTATAGTTTTGCTTCTTGTGCAGCGAACGTTCCCTTCCGCTTTCTTCTTCTTCTTCATTGGTCGTCCTGCAATTACTTCTTGTTCTTCCCATTCTTATTCGTATTGTGGCGCAATTATATTCTCAGTTTTTCTTGGATTTTGAGGACAACCCCACCCCCACCCCCACCCCCATCTAGCAGTAAGTAATTCGTATGACTCAGTGGGATTACGAAGACGGTATGCACTCTAGCTTGTATGGGTTCATACAATTGATTCCTCTTGAATTTTTCGCTTTTATAGGTCTGGGGTTAGATCACTACCCCGTGTCAGGAAGGAGACCATGATTTTCCAATCGCGGACCCAAACTGCTCGGACCTCGAGAAATTTCTCTTTTGTTGCTCTCCAATGAAACAGCACAGTTGATACATTTCATGAATCTTCTTAAGTAACGGTTGCTAACATTAGAATCCATGAAAACCCACGCCATCACGATTCCACGCCACCTGCTTGATGAAATTCCAGAAAGCATCTGCTTTGCAATGGTCTTCTTAAATTTTACATTTTTCTGTTTATACTGATACCATATACTCTTAACTCTCTGAATTAATCTATATATCCATGCTAATTCTGAACCCTAGAAAAGTGATCCTCCAGGTTTCTCCTATATGCTCGCCTTGAGGTTTTGTAATATCTCTGGTATTGGCAAAACTAGTGTCATGCCGAGCATTGAAGTATGTTAACTAGCTGAAGTATGTTTAATGCAACATACATTCGTCTCTCCACTATGACAGTATGAACAGACAACTTTCCCCTTGGCCGTCCTCTCCCTCCACTATTTCCCGTCATTCAATATCTAATTTTTTCTAACCACTCAAAACCTGGGCCGCTAGTATTCCTGTGTATGCTGGAAAACATTAGTTTTTTAAAACTTTTGATTGCAGTGAAATCAGATCTTTAGCTTTAGCTGGTTGAGTTGTCTTCTCTTTGGCAGCAGATACCTGAAGTCAGAGGCAGGCAGTCATTCAGCTAAATGGCAAGTGTCATATTGACGTTTTCTCCTTGTATTAGTACTAATTGTACAAGGAAGTGCAGCCCATCAAAGTGTTCCGTCCTCCTAGGATACTATGCCTCTTCTTGTACTCGTAAGATGGAGGACATTGTAGTATCCTCTTACCAGCCTCGTCATTGTCATGGTCGACTGAGTTTACAATTTCGTAAACCGAGTAAGTTCCCCTGCCTCATCATTATCATGGCCATCTAATTCTGCAAATAGATAAACCAAATAAATTCCCCACAGGAAGTCTTAGTAGTTACCTTACCTATGGAATTCCTGTTCCTAATATAGGAGTATTTTTTTCTTGAATGAGGTACTCTTTAGTTGTTTCTTGAACCTTGGCTATAAAATTTTGTGTTTGTCAAATAGCTTATTACAAATTGCATGTTACAGCCGATATTGTTCAATTTTGAACACTTCTTTCCAGCTCTAACCTTGCCAATATCTGGTGCATTCTTTCCTAGAGGCCATTCGTCCTTCTTCTCTTCAACAGTTTGTCAAGCAAAACAAGGGGATAGTGCCTTTAGTGGCGAAAACATTACACTAGATCAGCAAATTTTAGAGCAGGAGCTCCAAATTGCCATTGAGGAGGAAAACTATCCAAAAGCTGCAAAAATCAGGGATGCACTTCATAGTATTCAAGAGGATAGCAAAGCATCCATGCTACCAGCAAATGCTGAATTTTACATATCATTTAAAAATGGAGATTTATCTGCCATGCAAACTATTTGGTCAAAAGGCGATCCGTAACCCTAGACCCGTAACCCCTAAACCCGTAACCCTAAACCCGTAACCTTAAACCCGTAACCCTTAAACCCTAAAACCCCAAACCCCAAACCCCTAAACCCCAAAGCCCTAAACGCTTTCGAATCATTCATTTTTTGCAAAAAAAAGGACCCCTGATATTAATTTTTTTTTATTAAACTTTCTTGTTATCATTTAAAACTCCTTACAATTAGATCTTAAAGTAATTCATTGCACCTATACAATTAGAGGCCTATCCTAAAGAAAGACGTACGGTGAATGTAGGCAGATTTCAGACTCAAGTAAAATTATTTTGTTATTTACAAATCAAAAAAAAAAAAGTTTAAGGTAAAATTAGGACTGAACCTAAAATTTAGAATAAAATTGTGACCGAACTTAAAGTTGAGTATTTTTTAAGATATTCAGCCAAAAATCCTGCTATAACCTTGTTGCGCTCTCTCTCTCTCTCTCTGAATAAAAACCCTTGCCGGGATAAGGTTCCTTGGTAGCAAAGGGAAAAAAAATTAAGAAACGGCATTATTATTACTGCAACTGCTCCTACTAAAGTGTCATTTACATGTCATAACGAGCACGTCTCTTTAGATGGTTTTTCTTCACTCGTTAGTATTGTTGTTAGAATTAGCATTACAATTTTGTGTCCACACACTTATTAAATATCACTGTTCTTTTTGTCCATTTTGCTATGCATAACCTTCTTTTTTTGTCGAAGCTACATATAAAACCTCACTTTGGTCACAAAAGATAATATACCGCTTGTCAAAGATCTAAAAGAATGTACAAATTTCTATTTTAACTTTTTTTTTTTTGCTCATAAAAGACAAATTCCCTGAACACTGGTTTTCAATTTGTAGCAAGAAGATTTTTCAACAACCCTAGTTGTTTAATGTGAGACTGCTCAATTTTTTTTCCTGCTGAAATAATAAGAAGAAAAATCTTTTGATTTAGTTTTTGGTCGGAAAAAAAAAATCCTTTGATTTAGAAGCCTAAAAAAAATGGCGTTATTATTGGGCCTATTGTAAATATCCGCAATATTTAGGTGGGCCGTCGTCCTCCTCCTCCTCGTCCGCCCTACACTCAGCGCCCCCCTTGTTGCTCTGGCTTCTGGTTGTCGCAATTCCCACTTGTTCATCCAAGTTACCGGTTCAAGCGTCCTCCTTGAAACCCGCACCAACAACCACCATCCGCCGTCGTCCTAGTTCGGCCCATCCCTCGCTGCTTCTGCTGTAGCCGCTCGCTGGTGTCGCTCCTTGTCCCCACAATTCCGGCGCAGCTGCTCGCGGTGTTGTTATCACTTCATTGGTGACCCCGATTTGAGTTGAATCGGCACCAAGCCCTGCCCTTGTCTTTGACACCTCAAGTTGGCCACACTTCACCGACCCCCATTGTTGTCGAGGTAAAACCTCATTTTGATTTCTCCAAGTTCACTAGAAATTGGTCCTGTCCGTTATACTGGTGATCCACCATGTTGGTTCCATGCCTTAATTGGATGTTTGAGTGTGTCTTTCTGAAACCAAATGTTGATTCTTGAATTTGTTGCATCATACATGCTCATAGTAAAGGTTTGGACGGCAGAAATGCAAGGAATGTGGACCTTTTCATTGAAGGCAAGCTCGATCGGAAGAGCAGATGTGAAACACATCTGTTTAGCAAATGCCCGACTTGTGTTTTCGCGCTTCCCATCTAACACACAAATGGAAGAATATGGATATGATAGCACAATGATTGCTGATATTCAGAAAGCAAAAGGTAAATGTGCAGCTGGCTCCTGGCTTTCGTGCGTTGCAGATGACACTGCATATGATGTTGCGAAGTTGGTATGTGTCCCACAGTATGTTGTGCTTTTTTTATTGCTATGACTGGCATTATTATCGAGTATCAATAATGTGGACCAAATTTGTCACATCCTTGTAGATGTCACATCATAATGCTGCAGCCTTGGTCGTGAAGTCCAGAGAACTGAAGTCTATTGCAGGAACCATAACCAAGACAGGTAAAAGTTTTCTGTTCTTCCACATGTAAGAATTTGTATGAAATGAGTGTTGGTCGTCAATGGGAAAAGTGCCACTCATTTTTTCCTTTTGATGGAGCATAGTTTTCAGAGATCACTCTACATGAGGAAGTATGGATTCCAGTGAACAACTAATAAAAACGCAGCAGTGTGTTTTATTGTTCTATCTTTATGTTCATTTAGCGAGCGAGCAAACAAGTGATTGGTGCTGTACAATCTCTCAAGTGTTCAACAAAATCTCAATGGAAGCTCTTCAGAGATTTTATTTTAATTCACGTGATACTTCTGATTCTTTCATCTGCATTCAACAGTTAGGATTCTTTGATGATTTGCTATTTGTTTTTAACCATCATGATAGAATGAGGTGTCTATAGACGTGTGGTGATTGTATGGATTAGCGGTCTCTTAGTTTGGACATTGTAGGGAATTCCTTTTGATCCTTATACTTGGCACATTATAGCCTTTCAGCCACTAAGCTTGGCGCATCCTTAAGGTTTATTTATGTTAAGGCGTGACAAGTTGTCTCTGTTGTGCGGCAACTTATTCAGGATTAGGAGATTCTTTTGAAACTGCCAATATTAGCACTACATGTTTTGCTAATTCTAAATCAAACATTTGTATCGGGAATAATCATAAACAAAAAATAACCTTTTTTTTCGAACTTGAGAGAAACATTGCACAGTGCTAGTGCATTGAACTTAGCTAAATAATCAGCTGAGCTAGCTCCTCTCTCAGTTCATCAATACGCTCTATATACTTAGCATGAATTTGGGACACCATGATGGGGTCTCCTAGAACTGATCTAGCGTAACAATTCTGTACTTGTAATAGTATGATCTCTTAAGATGGTTGCATCTTTTAAATTAAATCAAAAAAGAATTGGAAAAGCTATCTTCTTGTCTAATCCATGTCTGATTGTCAACATTTATGTGCCTTCTCAGGGTCAATGCTTGGTGGTGGCTTTGTCAGTGCCAGTTTGTGTCCAAAGTGCCCTAAATTTACTCATTCCACCAGAGGTTTTTGCACCCTTGTCAATGATGAGTCACTACATACTAGTCCACACATGGATGTGAGAAGGGTTCATTCTGACAAGTTTAACCTTATACATGGCAAAGTTCAACCAATAGACTTTACCAAAGTTGATATTAATGATCTTCCAACTTTTATCATAGTCGGACGACCAAATGTGGGCAAATCGGCATTGTTCAACCGGTAGGTTTGACTTTACTAGCTCTGTGTCAATCAAAGCAACGAGTATTGTTGTGTTGGCAAGTTTTGACAAATTCTTTCACTATATTAATTGCTTAGGTATTGTGTAGTTTGATTCGGAGGAGGGAGGCTCTTGTGTATAACACTCCGGAGGACCATGTGACAAGAGATATACGAGAAGGTATTGCCAAGTTGAGTGATCTAAGATTTAGAGTGTTGGACTCTGCTGGTTTGGAGATGGCTGCATCTTCTGGCTCAATCCTGGACAGAACTGCAGCGATGATTGCGAAGGTTCTTGCTAGATCCCAGTTTGCCATCTTTCTGATAGATGCTAGGTGAGCTCTTACTTACAGCTGTCAATTCTGTACTACTCTCTTATGGTCTTTTATGTACAGCAGAGACACTATGAGAAAATTATTAAGGATAGAGGTAAAATCACCTAGAACATGTAATTGCGTCCTTGCAAGTATCTATAGTCATTTACTCCCATAGTTGGTTTCACTTTGTCGGTTTCCTCATGTTCGTAACGCACATGACTTCGTTTGTTAATGGGATTTGTTCTACTTGACAGAGTTGGTTTGCACCCTTTGGATTTGGAAGTTGGGAGGTGGCTGCGGAAACATGCGCCTGGGATGAAACCTATAGTTGTAATGAATAAATCGGAATCACTGGATGATGATAATGGCTCTCTTGCTGTTTTAGCTGCAGAAGCCAGCAGACTGGGGTTTGGCGATCCTATTGCTATATCTGCTGAGACTGGTTTAGGCATGGCAGAACTATATCTAGCTCTTAGGCCTCTTCTTGAGGATTATATGATTGGTGTTCTGAATGGTAAGATTTGCTTGCTGTATTCATGAAAACTTACCTTTTTGTTGAAGGCTATAAGGCTCTCTCTGTGCAAGTCCAAAACCTTTTGTACATAATGCAATCGAGTCATAAACCTCTCTCTCTCTCTCTCTTTCTCTCTCACTAGCCAGTATCAAAGGAGTTCCTCAAATGATATTTCTCCCGATCCCTCACTTGCCTTTCCTTATAATCAATTACTGCACTTCACCTTCATCTATCTAATAGCTTAAGTTTTCAGATAAGTAGGCCTTAGTTCCGCAATTCACACAAACCTAATTACCTTTTTCTTCTATTTTAGACCGTGACAGTGCTTCTAATGAGAAAAGTTGTTCCAAATCCAATGAGGTTGAGGAGTCTAAGTTGCCTCTCCAGCTTGCAATAGTTGGGAGACCTAATGTTGGAAAGTCTACATTGTTGAATACTTTGTTACAAGAAGATCGCGTTCTGGTTGGTCCAGAAGCTGGTCTAACAAGAGATTCAGTTAGGGCTCATTTTCAATTTCAAGGCAGAAATATCTATCTGGTAAGTGCCGACATTTTAGTCATCACCTTTTGTCAAGGGTTTTTGACGTTGCATAAGTTTGGGACATTATATAGAATGAGCATGGCTATTTGGTTGGTGTGCTGACTTGCTTACTTACCTTATTGTTTTCTTTGAAAATTTCGGAAAGTACTTTTGTTAGCAGAAAGCATTTCTCTCTATATGTCTTTCTCTCTCTTCCCCCTCCCCCCAACTGCATATGTGAATGTGCAATCGAAAAAAATTGCCCCCTTGGTTATTGCCTTTTCAAACTGCTTGTCTTGATATGAACTACTCCTGAGTTATTGTACTGCATGTCTCCATCCTTTACGGATCTGCTAGACTTCAACCTGATCTACTAGACTGAACCAGTTATACCCGGGTTGGTTCATGTATATCCTTTCAGGCTGAGATTTCTATTGGGATTGGAAGTTTTCCAGGCCAAATCTTTAGAGGATTTATACCTGCTACAGTGTTTGTTGCACTGTTTGTGCCCTTGTGTAGTGATAAATATGTATTTACTGTTCATCGAGCGTTCTATCAGATGAATAGTATTAGTGAACTAAAGCTTTTCAGTGTCTTTGCTCGGGATAAATTTCATATATTGGCCTTTCCTCATTGTAAGAACTTCTGTTAACTCTAAATGTGATTATTGTCTTTAGTGTCACTTTTTGACTTTTGCTTCTAACATGAACTATCTTCTAGGTTGACACAGCAGGCTGGTTGCAAAGGACAAAGCAAGAAAAGGGACCATCTTCCTTGAGCATCATACAGTCCAGAAAGAATCTTATGCGTGCTCATGTGGTAGCTTTAGTCCTTGATGCAGAAGAGGTTTGTTATAAGTTACTTTACTGCGCACTTCATCCTACTGTGACATTATAAGTTCAATTTATGACTACATGAAAATAATATAACAGAGGGATGCTTGTCTAATAGCAGAGATTTTAGGTAAGGGATGATTGGAGCAATTTGTTACTCATTGTAGTTGATGCCTTGATTAATAGATTCGATTGTTGGAACTACTCTGGATGCATTTTTTTCCCCTACCTTGTTAGATTGCTGGAGCACAACGAAGCATGAAACATGCCGAAGTGGTAATAGCCAGACAAGCTGTAGAAGAAGGACGTGGGTTGGTTGTGATTGTCAACAAGATGGATGTCCTTAGAGGGAAGAAGGACTCGATGTTGTATGAAGAGGTGATGAAAGCTGTTCCAGAAGAAATCCAAACTTTGATTCCCCAGGTTTGCCTTTCTTATAAATGTCCCTCCTGTGATACCCCATTTTCTTCTTAAGCGTCTTATGGGATGGCTCATTATTCTATTTCCAGTTCTCCTTTCTAATAGCCCTTTTCCTCTGTCTGCGGGTGTTGGGATAGAGTTCTATTTGATGAAAAAAAGATATGCTTGTAAATAGATTTGCTGCGTGACTTTGTCCCTTGTTTCTGCCCATCTCTTGGAGCTTGTTCAATCAAATTATGTTGATCCAACATTGCAAACTGAGAACTGTTTCGTACCTAAAAAGTATCTACCATTTTTTATGGAACTATTGGAATGCTTTTATTGTAACTAGAAGAGTCTTTGATGCCGTGCCTACTTTTGGTCATCCTGTCCTGAGGGATTGGTGATTATATAGTCTATTTAATGGACTTTGAACAATGCAAATATCAGACGTGTCTCTCATTAGTTAGATCGTGAGGGCAACACTTGGAACCATGCCTTTCTTGGGCAGCCTGTTGCCCCTAGTCTCGCGTTCACAAAATTCTGTTGAAAGTTTTTCTGGAAATTAGATTGATAGTTTGCTACATTTACAAATCTGTGTGTCTATGAACTTATGTGAGCAGTTGGAAAATCAAGAGGTCAATAGGTTAGTTGGTATTTTGGGCATAGATTGCAGTACCAGTAACTCCTGTGTTGGTTTAGGAGATCTGACATGGCTTTTTAACAGGTGAAGTCTATACCTGTTGTTTTCATATCTGCATTAGAGGGTAGGGGCAGGATGGCTGTCATACACCAGGTCGTTGACGCGTATGAGAAATGGTGTCTAAGACTGCCAACAGCTCGTCTTAACCATTGGTTGCATAAGGTTAGGCTTCTATAACGCTTGGTCTTCTCTAGTTCTTCCAACAATTGACTTGTTTATACCACTAGCCAGTGGCCAAGTGCGTGTTGGAGTTTTTGATTGCCCTAATGCAATTTGCAATGACTCCCTCTCTCTCTCTCTAGGTTATAAGCAGGCACTCTTGGAAAAATCAGGCTGCCCAGCCCAAGATCAAGTACTTCACTCAGGTGAAAGCCAGGCCACCCACTTTTGTCGCCTTTGTCAGTGGGAAGACACAGCTCTCAAACACGCACCTCAGGTTTTTAACGAGGTCGTTGGAGGAAGACTTTGAATTAGGTGGAATTCCAATCAGGATCATACAGCGGTCATTTTTAAAAAGAGATGGCTGTAGCTGTAGAATTAGTAGCCAATCTTCAAGCAAAATGGCAGAAAGAATCTCGTCTGATAAGAGGGCAGCTGCTGTTTAGGGAATAACAATTATCTTAGTTTGAGAATGTGTGAATAGCACCTACCTTCTTAATCCCAATAACATTGGGTTTAAGGAGATAATGTAAGCAGGTGCCGGAGTAGAAAGTGAAAAAAAAAAATGCTATGTAATCTTACTGGCTGGTGGAGTTGATCTTAGAAGACAATAGCCATATGTACAGAATTTTGTCAGATATTATGAAAGGAATTTTGTTGGGATATCAGTTAATTTGGCTTTTGAGCAGTTGATAGGACGTTGGCCAATACCCTGCACTTTTGTTTCAAGTTGCGTCCTAGGGGGCCCAATGCCTCTGATCTGTGTTTATTTCAATCAGTGGGACCCAATACTGTGCCTACTTTGTTCGACAAGTTTGGTTGATAGTTCTTAGCTAATGTACTCGTGATGAATTTCCTGGATCATATCTCTACATCATGCAGAATTTGATCCATCCTTAGAAAAGTCGTCTGCTTAATTGAAATTCATTTTTTAACAATTGACATAATCTATTTTAAATTTTGTGATAGCATTCTTTAAACTGGTTGAGGATAAATTCGCCTTGGTTGTCTTATAAATAGACCATGTCCAATTGACAGGCATTATTCTTCAGTTTTTACTGCCAAATACCCAAGCAGAAAATTCCTTAACCAAATATCTCATGGGTATTACAAGAAATATTGGGTCGTTGCTGATTATACTCCAATTGCCAATTTGAATTTGAGAAGTCATGTGTAGTGTAGGTGGATATTTTGTCTTGTCTATGTGTGCACCCGGTTTTATGTTTCCCTGCGCCCGCGTTTTTGCGATTGAACAGCATATGTAAGTGGGTATTTCTGTCAGCGTAAGTCATCAGTCTGACGATCGGTTGAGCCTATGATCTCTGTTTGTAACAGAAAATGGCATCAGGCCTTTCATAGTTTTGTAAAGGAAACCGAAAAGGCATAAATCAGTTCAGGAAATATCAAATATTATTAAGATAATAGAACTACAAGCGCTCAAAAAATCTGTAACTCGTTATGCTTTTGCCTTCGGAAGTAAAATTAGTCAGTCTGCATTGTCCTGAGCATTTGCATTAAAGCGGTCAGCATCCTCACCTCTACCACCATCTTCTCCACCATAATTAACCCAAGGCAGGATTGACTCAAATAGGACAGCCAAAGCACTCCTGTCAGCTACATCGCGGACTGCGTGTGCACCGCCAGCTGGATTAGCAACTTGGTCCTGAACATGTACTCCACCTCCCATCCCCGGTTCACCCATAAATTGTTGCATGTTTTCAGGAGAAATTGATGCCATGGAATCAGAAAAATCAGAAACCAAGAGATGACCGTACCTGCGTCCCCAAAAGGGAGGAAAAAAGAGTAGAGAAAAGCCACGCTTGTCAATAACTAGCAACAACACAAAAGTCACATGTAACAAAATGCTCAAACTCTGCTAATCGATGAACAAACCATAAATGAGAGGATAACAAAATCCAGACGTTCTATAAAGTATTTGACCTTATCTGCATGCATCTTAGCATTATACTTAAATTAAGCATTCATCGTCCCATTCAGTGATTGGAATATTATCAAGGCTAAGGATAGAAAAATAATTAGTACAAGGCCAAAATAGAAAGCTTACTCATTTTTGGTAGAGGAAAATGCTTCTTTCCTCACACAAGCCCAGTCCTCTGCGTCACTTCTATTAGTTTCTACTGTTTCAATCACCAGCTCCACAGTGTCCCTTAGCAACTTTTGCAGACCAGGAAATCTCCATATGAGATAATTCCTCTCTATGTATATATTAATAAGGTGATCCAGGGATGGTACTCCCATATGCTCTGATCGAAAGAACCGATGTTTGACTGTTTTTAACCAAAACTGGTCCTTCAGAGGAACCTTTGTTACCAGTTTCTTCAACACTGATGGATGAAGCATAAGCGCCTGCTTCAGAAGATCAACCGATGACGCCTTTGCATCATTATCATGCACATCTTTTTGAAGATCCTCTTGCGCAAGATAGAAGCGGCAGATGGCAAGAGAAAATGAAAAATTTGGAAACAACCATAAAGAGTTGTCGCTTTTATATTTTTCAGAGAAGTCTTCTAACCACGAATATTCTTCTGCCCTCAGGGCAAAGTAGTCAACACAGAACATAGCCCCCATAGGATCTTCTATGTCCAATGAAAGCAGTAGCTTGCAAACTTCTAATGCAGATCGATGACAGCCTCGCCTTTCCAAATTGTTCATGTGTATGAAAAGTGTCTTAAATAGAGGCCGGTTTGTCTCGTGGTCATATTTCAATTGGATATTACCCTGCCATGGAGGAAACAGAGGATGCCACGCGCATTCCAGGCCATATAAGCACTTGCCAATGGCATCTGCTGCCGTTTGATGCTCACCAACAATTTTAAAGTATTCAGCGATTGTCAAAAGTGATTCCAAGTGATAAGGATGGTATAACAGAACACTTGCTACGGCATTAAAATCATGAATAGCTTTGGCAGCTTCGAATGCCCTGTGAGCTTGAACATAAGATGATGACTGGACATATCTGTTACACATTTAAATATTCAAGAATGTCAGTGCTTATTGTGCAAAAAATTATAAACAAGCTTAAAGATACAATATACAGCCAAACTGTTGGTAAATTGTCAACTAAAAGAAGCATACAGCACATGTTGGCAAATATTCCAGCCATGTCTATGGAACTCCTACCGGTCCATCTAAACATGACTGAAGGAAAGAGTTAATAAGTTGATTTAGTACAACATGAAAAGATCTCCTACATCAAAGAAGGATATCAAGCATCCTTAATGTGCACATCCACTTTAGTGTCCCCACATATAATTGCTTGTAGAGGATATACAGTGAGCTTGCTTCACCATGTACAGAATCCAAACAGCATTGGTACCATATAATAAGGTGAGATCACATATGGTTCCCACATGCATTGGTACCATACCATCAAGAGACTATTGAACGAATTACAAAATGAGAAACCTCCCTTGTTGAGAACAAATTCAACACGAGGCTTGTCCCACAGGTATTATTCAATGTCATCCACTCAATGAGGTGAATCTCAAAATAATATACCATGAAATTCTGTACCACAAGGTAGGACTTTGGTTCTCACAATCTCATCTGCTAGTATTAACATCGCCGGTGGTCTCGCTTAAGTAGTGTACATAATGGCACATTGACGTGAGATTTCAAAAGTCACCCACCACGATAGATGCTACCATCCTAAGGTACTGCCTAACCAAACCAAGATGCTCGAGGGATGAGCCTTGACACTGCTTAGGTCCATGACTCTAAAATCACAGAAACCAAACACTGACCAAAGTCGATGAACGCCTTCCCCTAGGAAGATTACTCAAATTTGAAAATTAAGCATAGGCCGCCAATCATTTATCATTGTGATAGATATATTCCCGATTCTATACAGGTATTAAATTCTCAAACTCCCAGGGGCAAAATTGCAGCCTCCAATCATTCAAAGAAGCAGATACTCATTATGAATAGTCTCATAGTCTCCAAAAGAACCATATGCACAGAAAAAACTTGGAAAAACATTACCAAGAAAAACTGAAACATGATCCTTACCTAAGGTGGTTGTGCCCATCGCTTGCTTCCAAAAGTTCCATGGACAAGGATCCATCCCAGCGAGGCCAATGGTCCAATGGAGTGACAAGTATTGTCTTTCTAGTATTATGGCTTCCACGTCTTCCCCCACGTGCGTGTCTAGAACTGCCAACTTGACTACTTTCAAACGACTTAACGACCTTAGACCCAAAAATTCTTCGCAGCTCCATTTCAGCATTTAGGTACTTTTGATTCACTTGTAATACAGAAACTGCTTGTTCTTTTATATCACTGCGATGATCTCTTCTGTGCTCATTTTCATTTTTTACATCTATCGATAAGTTTTCCAGAATCTGGTCAAAGTCAGCAGATTTTTTAAGTCCATTGTGGTGTGAAGATTCCTTCTTTTCTCTCTTTTTCTTCTTTTTCCTTGGTTTATGGTTGGATGATGAAACCACCTCAAGAGTGCTTCCTAGCAGAGTTTCTTCCTGTTCATCAGCGTTTCCTCTTGATTGGGCATCAACTGCAGCAGATTGAAATTCCTGCCGGTAGAGCACTCTTATTAGACAGATAAAATGTTTGTAAACAGGATGATAAATACATATACAAAATAGAACTATATCACACTCAGAAAGCACACAATATAGATCAGACCAAACTCAAGCAGGAGTTAAGGATGAATCTCCACAAAATTAAAACATGACTGCAATGAGGAAATAAGTGAAATAGCATGTCCCATACAAACCTATCATCTGTGACTTATCAGACTTCACCTATTAAAGACTCTGCAGGTTGTCTCCAACAACTGTAGCTAAATTGATGATTAGTTACTTAGTCTTCAATCGGTACACATTGAAATGTCTTAGATGCCATTAGTACCTAACTGATACTTTTACCAATACTATTGATAGATGTTGAGAATTCTTCCAGGCAGACAGTAACAGAGGCCGGAGCTGACTGCATATGACCATGATATCCAAATAAAACTGCCCCATAGATGTTTATTGGATCACATACAATAACTAATTGTGCTTATTAAACTCCTTACATACATGTGGGCACCCATGCAAAATTGGAACTTTGCCATGACATGCAAATTTAAGAAGGAAGAGTCCTTAACCAAGATTGTGGTCATGTGTGAAGATAAATAGCAGAAGAACAAATGGAAGCCTTTTCGACTTCTATGGTGTTTAGATAATCGTAAAGTACACACTAGAATGTACTAAGGCCTAGAACAACATAATACTGAATAAGAAAAGACAGTCTTCTGAATACTTGGGTTGTTGATAACAGATGAAATCATCATGTTGATCCAGCTTCAGATATTTATCGTAAAACCTGATAAAATTCCCAATGGAAGCCAAAACTGCCTCACAAGCCCCGAAAGATAAGGAACTCACGAAACACAGCATGGGGACAAAATAAATCTTGGAAATTAGAACATTTAACTTTTGAGTTGTCCCAAATAATGTCTTCCAACCAATCAATTCAAAGTGATTTGAATGCCTAAAAAGTCCTGGCAATCAGCATGTAACCAAACCCATCCAGCTACCTAGCCTGAAAAAGAAGCCATCTAATAACCTCACTAGAATATAGTGAAATAAAAAAAATAAAAAGGAAAGATGCATGTCTTCTTTGCCTACTCGCTGCCTAACCCAGTTATGAAAGTGAAACACTCAGTTTGCTTTCACATCCTTCTTCTACCTAGGATGCATCTTTTGCTCCCCATCTCTGGATGAATTCCGCAAGCCCAAAATCGCTGCCCACACATTCACTCTAATCTAGCACATCTTCAAAAGCAATTAATTCTCTCTTTATCAAATTTATCTTGAAAACCGAAATAGCATCAAAGCACAGTTAGAATACATCCGAGATGAGAAATTTCGGATCACTCTAGTTCTGGAGACATGTGAAGGTCAAAGATTCACCAAAACAAGGCCCGGCCAATCCAGGGACACTGTCAATTCGTCTTTTTTGTCCCAAAATGAATCGACTTTATTCCCCGATTGCGCCGGTGACAAGAGAAATTGCGAGCGGGGTGTGTCCAATTAGACTTTCCGGGTGGCTTTGAAGCTATATGCAATAAGAACAGGGAATTTCCATCGTACGGGAAAAGAAAAGAAACGAAAAGCGAACGGGGAATACGGGGTCGAACCGCTTCGGGGACGTCTTGGTCGTCGCTTTCGTCGTCGCCGAGGAGGTCGAAGGGGTTCTTCTTGGAATCGGGCGATTGGGAATCACAGTCCTCGTCCTCCGACGACGGCAGGGGCAGGTGCAGCTGCTGCGCTTCTTGTTCTTTCAGGATTTTCTTCAGCAACCTTCCCGACATCCTCTCTCACCTCCACTCCCAAATCCTGCCACCCACAAAACGAAGGTCGAAGGAAGCAGAGCCAACCAAGGCGGTCTCTCCAAGCGCAGTATTTGGTTGGTGTCGAAAAATGATACACGATGATGATTCGGACTTGTGAATCGTGATGGGTCGGACAAGTAGTATTTCATTATTCATATCATCGTGTCTTTATTTCGGACTCGGGGTGGCGTCCAGGAAAATTCCTTGTATACACGGGTGCATTGAAGCCCACCTAACCTCACCCCCTTACAACCCCTAGATTTCACGGCCATTCGCATAACTTAATCATTTAAGATCAATTACGCTCGTGTTTTCTCCCAGGGATAGATCTATCGACCTCTATCCTATCTGGACCACCCAAACACGGATAGGATAAAACATATCCTATCCTGGCTTTTATCCGGTCGACCAAACGGCACTTAAGGTTTGGATCACATTTTACTAATTTTTGTCAATAAATTTATGTCAATGAAATTTACTTAGGGTTTAATTCACATTTTACTATTTTTTATCAATGAATTTATGATAATGAAGTTCACTAAGAGTTTAGTTCACATTTTATTAATTTTTTTTGTCCTAAGTTTGCCGCAAAAGTGTAATTGAGCCCTAAAATTTTTAAAAAGTGTAACCGAATCCTACGACTTATCAAATTTATTTAATTAAGTTACTCAGTTAATTCCGTCTAATTTGACTTAACGGTAATTGTTCATGTGTCTTTTTATTATTTATGTAGGACACATTCGACTATTTAAAGGGAATTGGAGTTTTTTTTTCTTTTTTTGGTCGGAAGGGGAATTGGAGTTGAGAAAGCATGGATTGAAGCCGCTTAAGAGGAGTCCCTCGTCGTCCGCCCATGCTCTTCCCTCTTTCTTTTTTGCAAAAATTAGCTTTTTATTTTTTTTTTAATTCTTAATCCTTTTTCTTTTTTCCTCTCTTTCTTTTTTTCTTTCCAAATTTTTAAGTTTTTTTCTGACTTGGTGCTTGATGGGTATCAAATTTGACAAGTTTTAGGTTTTGATTTAAGACTTAATTGCACTTTCGCAATAAAATTTTAGAACTTTTGGTTCACTTATCCCCTTCTTAAAAGTATGCAAGAATGGCTCATTGTCTAGACTTTTTGTCATTGTTTTCTGAATGGTAATTAGAAAATCAACCGAAGACATGTCACTTGTGCTGTTCAGTATATATTCAAAGAAAATAAATTCAGGTTAATTTTATCAAATTTGTCCAGTGAAATATCAATACCCCAAACTTTTTTTTGTATCTCATTAAATTGTTTGGGGTATTGATATTTTATCAAACATATATCAGTGATCTAAAAATACCTTCAGTTACGATTTCGTCCAAAATGGCTATTTAAAATCTTTAGTGGCGTTGTCCACGCATGTTGCAATGTGGATTTTTAACGGCAATTATTAATGAAACTGTGACAAAATGTATTTTTAAATCATTTGGGGTATTGGTGAAATGAAAAAAAAAAAAAAGCTTAGATACTAGTGTCCGATGAATAAATGTTTACGATTTTTAATAAAGTTTTTCCTTTTCTTTCATGTTGGTGGTAGGCATTTTCCTTTTCTTTTTAATGGGATAATATCACTAACAGTCCCTTCAAATTTTGATAGAAATTGAAAATTATCCATGAATCTTTTTGTCATTTGAAATATTTCACATACTTTTTAATGACAAATTTTGCTAATACGGACTGTTTTGTAATTAACTCAACCTATTTTTCTTTTCGACATCCCCATTGGTATTTGGGAGGAGCAATTTAACTGTTTAATATATCTTTTTAAAAAGTGCGTGGACTGTTTTGAACAAGGAAAGAGGTATATGATTTGGATTTTCGAGCAAAAATATACATATCAACTAATGGCACTGTACTTTTTTTTTTAAATGATGAAAAGGAGAAGAATGAATAACAGGGGAGTTATTCACTTTGAAACTTGAAGAACAGAACTCATTAGGTCTAAAACAAAAAATTCTCAGATTTATTGGAGCATAACTGCCAACTGTTCTAAAGGTTTCACATGTTAGATGAAAACGTAATTTATTATTTAAATATTCTAACAATAGCAAGTATAAAAAGTTTGCATACCGACATTACATTGATAAAAAATGCTGTATTATTTGGTGATTTTGTCAATGCACAAGCACAAGTCATTAAAGAAAAGCATTAGTGAATTATGACAATGGGGATAGCATTGCCTCGATCTGCATTGCCTTAGTACCTCCCTGGCGGTTCTTGAACTCTCGACTTCCTCCAGATCCAAAGGACTCTTTAAGAGTTGCATTCTTCTAATTGAAGTCAGAAAGCAGATGCACAACCTGCATGTGCTCAACATCATCTCCACTAGGAAATAGAAATCCTCAGAGGATAACATGGTCCACTGGCATGGAAGTCATTAGAAATGGGAGGATTTGGAAACCTGGCCGTTCTATCTTGCAGATTCAGCAAGGAAAAGGAGAACCAAGTTGGCAGTGGGGTAAAAAACCCAACTCGTGCCTCATGTTATATGGCAACTTTCAAGTTAACTAAGAGAATCTTATTTGACATCTTTTTAAATCATTTTAATGTTTGGAACATTATATACTATCAGTGAATCATCTTACATGTTGATTTCACACATTATATTTTCATATATTTAATGCTCTAGTCAGTTAGAAATAATTGCATTTGACCTCAAACACCTCATTTTGATAAAAACTATGGCCCCTAACTTAGAAGCCTGCAGGATGTTCGAAAATCTCATGTTCTTCCGTTCTACCAAAAATCAGAAAAAGGAATAACAAAAAACATGCGGACATCTTGAAAACTCTCCAATGGCTAGTAAATAATATTGTCGACAATAACAAGCTCTGCTTTAAATTAAAAAGAAGAAGAAGAAAAAGAAAAAGCCGAAAGGGCAACGCCAAGAAAGTAGTACTACACTTTCGATTCTTTACATCCCGCAGGTAAGAAGGGCTCCCACCATCCGTATTCATACTTTGGATAAGGCGCGACCCAATTCACTGGCTTCTCAAACTCTACTTGGGTGGGATTAGAAGCCAATGCCTCTTCTAGGCTATCTGCCTCATAGCTATCAGCCAACACTCTATCCAGCCTCAACTTCATGAACCTGTCAAGTAATTACAAAAGATAGGCCTTACCGTTTGAGAATAACTAATCTTAGAAGAAAGACTTACCAGTAAACAAAGAGCAACAAGTACTGGCATGTAAATCAAATGGGTAAAACCATGGAAAAACAAAATGATATATTACATAGGTGCGAGCTAAGGGAAACGATAGATAAGCAGTGCTATCGGAATCCAACCCAAATAACATGAAGACAGCGAGCAACAATATAGAGACGATTATTCTATAACATTCATGCTGAAGACCATTATATGCAATCATTTGCAATTGATGTATGACCAGGCCCGTAAGAATCGAGCTTGCCGCCTTACTAGGTTACATAAAGGAATGCCATTTGAGAATATTTTTTCAGCTCAAAAGAAGTATAGCAGCGCCATTAGAGACATCTGATATACATCTAAGAAAAAGAAGCATATGCAAGCACATTACTCCTCGAGAGTCCTCAGCACAATGCAGCAAACAATCTGAATATGCCATGCTAAAATTACAAAATGCATATCCAGATATATAACAATAGATATTGTTATTACAACAACATTTATTGGGTGGACCATGTTAACTGCCATCATCCATACGATCACCTTACCGAAATTGTTCTACGGATGTGCTTGTCAGTCTAGGATGCTAACTCTAGATGATGTCCGTATCAAGAGAGCTCAAGTGGTTAATTCATAATCAACAAGCCATGAACACATAATATCTATATTCTACAAAAAGAATATGATTTGAATAGATAGGATGCTCACTTCAAATGATGTCCACATCTAAAGAGTTTTAAGGACTCAACATGTAATCACCAAGGCATCTTCCTAGCAGAAAAAGAAATTCATTTGAAAATGGAGGTAGCCACTAGGCCATCAGCTCTACAACAAGTCAACAATGAATCACGGACAGGCAAATAGATACAAGCTACCTCTACATGCCACAGCGTCTGCATGAGAAGAGTTCAAGGACTCGATATATGATAATCGACAGGACAAAAAGCAATCAAATTTCTCGTAACTCTAGCCAAGTTCCAAAATGGGGCGAGCGCGGGATTATTACAGTGGCAGCTTTTCCAATATAGAAGGAAAGGGATTCAATTCGGTTGCACCCTCATTTCACTTCGCCGTGTTTGGCTGCAATGAAATTGATGAAGTTGGGCCTTCGTCGATTCCAAGTTCTTATAATATTCAGATTCCAGTAACCTTACATCACGAGGCAAAATCCTAGGGAGGTAGGAGTTTCGCAATTCAAAGTTGAAAATGCACTCACGTGATCCAGGTAGCGTTGGTGGAGACAAGCGCGACAGCGGGCCGGCGCAATCGCTTGGTGATATCAGGGAAGCTGTCGAGGAACTTGGGCTCGATGACAAGCCAGAAGTCCTGCTCCTTGTTGCGCTCGCCATAGTTGCGGAGGCGCTCGAAGAGAAGCTCCTGGAAGTGCTCCTCCTCGTCCAGCATGAATTTCGCATTCGCAACCACGAAGTGGTACTTGGTGCTCTTAGATTCGGACCGCTGCTAGTGCAGAGCAAGAGGTGATGAGCAAGTCGGGATTTTGATTCCGACCCATCAAAACAAGAACGGGGAAAGGGAAGGGGAAGATACCTGGGTCGGGCTGATCTGACTGGAGGAGTCGGTGGCGGCCACGGCCGTCACAAAGGGAGGAGAAGGTGGAGGAGAAGACAGGGAAGAGGAGTGCTTCCGGAGGCCGCAGGGGCGAGAAGGAGGAGGAAGAGGACAACTCCACACGGCGACATTCGTATGACCACGCATCGACGTCCCAGCCACAGGGCTACCCAAGAGGGCAGCTGCGGAGCCAAGGCCACCACCACCTCTCGACATTGCCATACCTCTTCCCCTCTGTCTCGGTCTGGCGATGACGATGAAGAAGAGTGGCGAGCCTTATCTATCCATATCACTTATCTCTCTGCCAATTTTCCCCCCGATCAATAAACCATCAGTGATCTGACCAAAAAAAAATAAAAAAAATAAACCATCAGCGCCCCCTGTTTTCAACTTCCTTTTTCGTTAAATGACACTTTTGTCCTTCTCTTACTATTCTCCCGTGGAAATTTTTTCGGAAAAATGACACTTATTAGTCCCTCGACTACGTGTTCAATATTTATAGTTCCGGAGCTAAATTGAACATCTATAAAAAATTCAGTAATCATATTTAATAAATTAAAAATTCAAAAATCACATTAAGTAAATTAAAAATTTAGGAATAACATTATACATTGGGTTAAAGTTCAAGATTTACATTGAACAAATTAAAATTCATGAATCACATTATACGTTAGGCCAAAATACATTGGTTATTTGTGTCATTATCCCAACTTTTCTCCTTTTCGTCCAACAGTTCAGGTTACATGCAAAACTGGTCCCTCATTTATGAACTTTTCCTTCAAAATGATGCAGGGGCTTCTTCTTTTGTTTCTTTAATGGGTCGCCTTTGTCTCGATGATTTCGACAACAGATTTTGTTCATGTGTAATACAGACATGGAACTCCCATTTCAAAACTCTTCTGATCTTTGAGATTGAGCTAGCAACCCATTAAACTAAACCACAAATGCTTAGTTTGTTTGTTGTCGGTTATCTTTTGTTTTGTTTTTTGTTCTGTAAGCAAATACATTTGCGTGTATACGCAACGAAACTTATCATTTGACTCTGGAATTCATAATCTTATGCGATATCAGAGCTCCAAAAATGCTCAAAACGACGAGATCCTGTCATGGCCGAAAGACCCACTCAGATAACTGTCGTCTTCTCCCTTCATTGATGCCAAAAGCCCACACTTAGCACTTTGGCGCGATTATTAGGCGGCCGCGGTTTAATTAGCACTAATCCCTTTATATTTTTTATTTTATTTCGCAAGGTTATTTTATTAATTTTTATTAGTTGAAAGGTTGTTTTTTGTTTATTAAGTAATTTTCGAAATTATGAAAATTCGGAATTATATATTTATTTATTTATTTTATTCGAATTTTACATGTGTCTTTTCAGGACAAATTTTGGAGATTATACGTGTTCGGTTTCTAGTCTTTCCACTATGATTTCACTCTTCAATTTTTTGTGTTTGTCGCAAATGCACTTTGATAGGAATTCAATTAATTTTTCAATAAACTGCTGACATGACGCACGGAAATTAGCACGTGAAGCCGTACTAAAAAGTAGGAGCAAAAGGTAGGAGCATGGACGTACAAGGCCTCTCTCTCCCTACAACAACTCAAGCAAAAATTGTCAAAAAAATTATAAATCTATTGCATTTTTTTTCAATTCAGTCATAAACCTTTTTAATATTACCGATTGAGTCTTAAAAATTTTCACTTATTGCCAATTGCATCCTAAACCTTTTCACTTCTTACCAGTTGAGTCTATCCAGTCAATTTTGACCGAAAATCGCTAACGCGGTACTGCCGATGCTGATATTGACCATTTTTAATAATTTTATTATTTTTTTTATTTTTCGATTATTTTTTATAATTTCTTTTTCTTTTACCTTTTTTCATTTCTCTTCTTTGTTTTTTTTCTTCTTCTTCTTCCTCCGGTCGTCAGCCTCCTTGATGGCCAACGACTGGCGATAGGGGAGAGCCGGCGAGGCTCTCCCTCGCCGAAATCTAGCGAGGACCGACCTCACCAGCCAAGTGAGGGTCGCCTCGCAGGGGCGAGGTCGCCAAGGCGGGCGAGGGCCGACCTAGCTAGCCTCGAGCAAGGCTCGCCCTCGCTAGATCCGGCAAGGGTCGGCCTCGCTAGCTTCGGGCGAGGCTCAACAGAACAGCTTCTGGTGAGGCCGACCCTCGCCAGCCTCAGGCAAGGTTCGACTTTGCTGGATCTGGCGAGGGCAAGCCTCACTTGAGGTCAACGAGGTTAGCCCTCACCAAATACAAGCGAGGGGACTTCACTCGCCTCGGCGACGTCACCCCTGTGAGGCACTGTGAGGCGATCCTCGCTCGAATGGCAAGATCAACCCTCGCCAGTGGCCGACGAGATCGGCCCTCCTAGAACCGACAAGGGCGAGCCTTGTCGGCTCTCTCCCGTAGTCGGTTGCCGGCCATTGAGGAGGCCAACGACCAGAGGAAGAAGAAGATGAAAAAAAAATAAAGAAAAGAAAAATAAAAATTAAATTAAAAAAATTAATTAAAAAATTGAAAAAAAATTATTAAAAATTGTTCACGTCAGTACCAACGGTACCACGTAGGACGGTCGACGTCCACGTCAATAATTTTCGGTCAAAATTAACTGGATGGACTCAATTAGCAAAAGTATAATAGGTTTAGAACTTTTTGGACAATTTTCCCAACAACTCACAACCTCTAAATAAATATATGTTTGAACTTGAGAGGAAGGTATATATGTTTCTAGGAATATTCTTTCAACTGTATGTCAAGATATAAGTGTGGGATGCATTCTGCTCTCCATCAACTTTGAATCGATCGGCTTGTGCACAATTAGTTTGGCTCTCCATTTCGAGGACTTCCGGGTAAATTAGCTTATGTAAAAGCTGTTCATGAAGAAACCTTGTCGAGGCAGAACCGACGGTAGGGTTATTAAACATTACCAAGCTGATAAGAAAAACGATCCAAATTCCAAAATAGTCTCCATCACGCATCAAACCACGAGTCACCATGCAATGAACACAAAAATAGATGGCAAATAACGGACCGTAAGAAAATATATTACTCAATTATATTAATCAACGGTACAAGCACCGTATATTAAAAGAAACTTTGGAATGTGAGAGTTTGAGTTGTTGAACCTCCTAAAGAACTTTACAAGCGTCATTTATTCTAACAAGAGTAGACATTATAAATACTTGAGATGGCACAGGCTAAAAATTATCAAAAACATGAAAAGTCCAAAACACCCATGCACTATGTTCGATGCGTGCTTGACCTGAGTGGGCATGGCCGATGCACCCCAAATAAGCCCGGATCAAGACACTCACAAAGGATTTGTAACATTCGGCTTCTTAAGACGGTACGGAAATCCTCATTATTATGATACATCATCAAGTACATACGGGTGATATAGTAGGGGTGGGCAAACACATATTTGGGCAAACTATGAGAGAATAGCCATAGATCACACGTACATGAAGAGAATCAGGCAAAAGAGGCCAACTTGGGTTTGGGAGGATTGAGCAAGCAAAGGTCGAGGAGAGAATCAACCGAAGTGTAGGGATGGTCAGCATACAATGTGGAGGCCTCGACATCATCCTCCGTCAGCTCAAAGCTCGTCTGCTCTCCTTTTATGAATATGTTGTGAAGTATCGCCACCGGTATGTTGTCCGGATATGGCAGAGCTGATGATCAGTAAATCAAACCACAAAAATTAGGAGATGATTACTTTCTAATTAAAACGATTGCCTACGTATCACGCAACATATGATATGTGAGAGATCCTATTCTGTAGCACCATCAGAATTCATGTAGACTTGGCTTATATTTGATCTTGGCGAGATGTCATTAGTCATTACCCATGATTAAGTCTCTATGAGTGTAGGCGAATAACAATACATTTTAATACGTGATCGCTCACATTAAAACCTTCGGACAATGTTAAATTTTGTTATCTTAACGGAATGACAACCTCGTGAGGCGCATAATTAATGAGGATGCACGTATGGCTCTTTATTCTCTTGACCTCGTACTAGATTAAGAAACGAATGACTCTATTTCCCACACACGGCAAATAAACATCCTCTCTCAAAATGAATCAACTAAGCACCTTGCGTTTGTCCTCATGATATAGTCAAAGCAGTAAAAACGCTGAATAGTATTGGGCACGAAGATTCAATGACATGTGCAATAGCTATCATGGCATATTTAACATTGTGCAGAGAGATCTCAATAGAGAAGCAAATTAATAGAAAAACTCGGGAAAATTAACAAAAAAATCATAAATCTATTGCAATTGTATCAATTCAGTCCTAAACCTTTTTTCGTGCCAATCGAGTCCTAAATCTTTTGCATTTGTACCAATTTAGTCCATCCAGCTAATTTTGGCCGGCCGGCGCTAACATGGACATTTTTTATAATATTTTAATTTTTTTGAATTTTTAATTATTTTTGCTTTTTTCTTTTCTTGCTCTTTCTTTTTTTTTTCCTTCCTTCTTCCTCTAGCCAATTGCCAAGCCGAGGCGACCAATCAGAGGCGAGGGTCAACGAGATCAACCTCGCCGACCCCAGCGAGGGGAGCCTCGTTATCGCTGCTCGAGGCTTGCCAATTCAGTCAATTTTGGCCAGCTAGCGTCGCCAGAGGAAGAAGGAAGGAAATAAAAAAGACAAAGAAAAGAAAAAAAAATAATTACAAAATTCGAAAAATATTAAAATATTATTAAAAATGTCCACGTCGACACCGGCTATGTCACGTCAGCTGATGTCGTTACATGTTAGTGCCAGCCGGCCAAAATTAGTCAGATGGACTGAATTGGCACAAATACAAAAGGTTTAGGACTCAATTAACATAAAAAAAAAAAGGTTTATAACTGAATTGACACAATTGCAATATATTTAAGGATTTTTATATAATTTTCCCGAAGAACTCAAATCTTACTTTCAGTGAGCTTGACCATATCCTCCTCTGGAATGTGTATCTTTTTAAGAGTCCGTTCAGTCTTTTTCTCCCACATGGAAATCAAGTCTAGCTGGGAAACGATGTTCCCTGGAGGTCGGTATATGATAACGCGGTTCGCCACTCTTGGATCTGTCGCTGCCTTTACCGTGTAGAACGCAACATCTTCCTCGTAATTTAGGACGGCTGTAGATTACAGTAGGAATGGGACATATACATTATAAAGAAGATTAACACGAAGTCTCTCTCTCTCTCTCTGCTATGCATATATCTTCTACATATGTATAGTAGATACCTACATATATCCGTAGCTCTGGCATCGCCAGTTCCATGAATGACCACATGGTCGCACTGCTCACGGGGATGGAGCAAGTAATCCACAAAGTAGGCAGCGAAAGAGTTGGCAGAGACGTAGGTGTAGGGAATCCCCGCAGCCTCGGTCGCTCTCCTGATCTTCCTCTTGTTCTCCAGCAATGCTTCGAATGGCGGCAGCGCCCCTTTGACCCTGTCCACTTCGTTTCCATACTCCGACGGAACAAACCTCTTTACATTATACACACATTTATAAGTATGTACGAGGACTAAGCATGCGCCACTTGCATGCAGCATATACATCATTCAATATGAATTCTATTTAATTAGGATATGACTAGCTAATTTAATTTCACCTGGATGTTGGGGGCTTCTTTAATGGCATCGATGATCTTGAGTTGTTGGAGATGTTGAGGGACAGGGAGAGTCGAGATGACGACATCAACCCGCCGGAGTAGCGACACAAGCTTCTCATGCTCTTCCAATTCACCCTACACCACAGAAAACAAAGTATCTATACATATACACTCGAGAGTCTCACACACACACAAAAGATAATGAATGAATGAATGAGAAAATTATTTCGGTCATAGGTACTTGGACAACGGTAACGTTCATCGATTCGAATTCATGGAGCAACCGTTGCTTGGAAGGATCGGGATTGCTGGAGCGGACATAAGCAAGAGTAGGGTGGCCCATGGAAAGGGAGGCCTTGACCATGAACTTGCCCAGGTATCCACTCGCTCCGAATATCAATATCTTCTCCTTCTCCACCTTCTTCTTGCTCATAACAGTAACATTAGCCATGGATTGGAAACCGTCGTCCTTCATATTCCCGTTATATTCTCAGCCTCGTACGTACCCCTCTCTCTCTCTCTCTCTCTCTCTCTCTCTCTCTCTCTCTCTCTCTCTCTCTCTCTCTCTCTCTCTCTGTGCGAGTCCATCTGCATGGCTGCAGGGCCTTTTTATATGCGAAAACTTCATTTGTTGGGCGAGGTCGATCACAGACAGTTTTGAGTACCAACCTAACTACCGCATCAGACTAGCCAAGCATCAATCACACCATTTGTCTAAATTGATTCTCACAATACCAAAAACATAATCCGATTAATCGTGTTTGACACATATATGCAAAACACAGTCTTGAAATGGACTTTAATCGTGTTAATAATCGATGAAGGGGCAAATTTTCAGCATGGAAACAATAAATCAAGTTTTTTACCCTTTAGAAAGCATGAAAAGGAAATACGTTTATATAGTCATTGCCCTATTCAAGCCGACCCTTTTATGTAGGGGAAAAAAGAAAAGAGAAATAATTAAGGGACGGTCCTTAATATACTGTGAAAACAATCGCGTGTTCTGGATCACAAAAAAATAAATAAAAATAATCATAAATTGTTGTAGGGTTTACTTCTTCAAGAATTTATGGCTCACAATATATTATTACTCTCACAGTGGCCAAAAATTACTGTGCTAGCAAAGCCAGAAAGAAAAAGAGTTGTTTGCAAGAGTTTCACAAACTGTGCATTACAAATAACAATTTTATTTTATCCTTGCAAAGACTACAAAGAATTGTCAGTTACACAAACTGGTTTAATTAGCACTAATCCCTTTATATTTTTTATTTTATTTCGTAAGGTTATCTTATTAATTTTTATTAGTTGAAAGGTTGTTTTTTGTTTATTAAGTAATTTTCGAAATTATGAAAATTCGGAATTATATATTTATTTATTTATTTATTTTATTCCGAATTTTACATGTGTCTTTTCAAGACAACTTTTGGAGATTATACTTGTTCAGTTTTCAATCTTTTCCGAAGGGTTGCATCTATTCAGTTTGCAACTTCTTCCGAAGGAATATCTTTGTTAGCTTCGCAACCTTTCGTGAAGAGTTGCCAATGTTCTTTAAGACCGATTTCTATATATGTCAGTTTTTGGCAAGAAAGAAAACAGAGATCAATTTCTTCGAGTCTTGTTTCGAAAACTACAGCCATCATTTCTTTTGTTTCCTAGAGAGACCCTGGAGAAATACTAGAATTGATATCTAGTATTCTCATTTTGAGACTTTGTTGTATCCTGGAGAAATACTAGAATTGGCACGTGAAGCCATAGTAAAAGGTAGAAGTGAAAGGTAGGAGCATGGACGTACAAGGCCTCTCCCTACAACAACTCACAGAAAAATTGTCCAAAAAGTCTTAAATCTATTATATTTTTTTCAATTCAGTCGTAAACCTTCCAATTTTACCGATTGAGTCTTAAACATTTTCGCTTCTTGCCAATTGAATCCAAAATATTTTCACTTCTTGCCAGTTGAGTCTATCCAGCCAATTTTGATCGGAAATCATTGACATGCCACTGCCGGTGCTAACATTGATCATTTTTAATAATTTTATTATTATTTTTTCGATTTTTCGATTATTTTTTTATATTTTCTTTTTCTTTTTCCTTTTTATCATTTCTCTTCTTTGTTTTTTTTTTTTCTTCTTCCTTTGGTCGCAAGCCTCCTTGATGGCCGGTGACTAGCGACAGGGGAGAACCGGCGAGGCTCTCCCTCATCGAAATCTGGCCAGGACCGACCTCACCAGCCGAGTGAGGGTCACCTCGCAGAGGCGAGGTCGCCAAGGCAAGCGAGGGTCGACCTAGCTGGCCTCGAGCAAGGCTCGCCCTCGCCAGATCCGGGAAGGGTCGGCCCCGCTAGCTTCGAGCGAGGCTCGATAGAGTAACTTCTGGCAAGGTTGACCCTCGCCAGCCTCAGGCAAGGTTCGACTTTGCTGGATGTGGCGAGGGCGAGCCTTGCTCGAGGTCAACGAGGTCAGCCCTCACCAAATACAGGCGAGGGGACTTCACCCGCCTCGGCGACCTCACCCCTATCAGGCACTGCGAGGCAATCCTCGCTTGAATGGCGAGGTCAACCCTCCCCAGTGGCCGACGAGATCAGCCCTCACCAGATCCGACGAGGGCAAGCCTTGCCGGCTCTCCCCTGTGGTCGGTTGCCAGCCATTGAGGAGGCCAATGACCGAAGGAAGAAGAAGATGAAAAAAAAAACAAAGAAAAGAAAAATAAAAATCAAATTAAAAAATTTTATTAAAAAATCATAAAAAAATTATTAAAAATTATTCACATCAGCACCGACAATACCACGCAGGACGGTCGACGTCCACATCAATAATTTTCGGTCAAAATTGGCCGGATGGACTCAATTGGCAAGAAGTGAAAATATTTAGGACTCAATTGGCTAAAGTGTAAAATGTTTAGGACTTTTTGGACAATTTTTCCAACAACTCACAATCTCTAAATAAATATGTGTTTGAACTTAAGAGGAAGGTATATATGTTTCTAGGAATATTCTTTCAACTGTATGTCAAGATATAAGTGTGGGATGCATTCTGCTCTCCATCAACTTTGAATCGATTGGCTTGTGCACAATTAGTTTGGCTCTCCATTTCGAGGACTTCCGGGTAAATTAGCTTATGTAAAAGCTGTTCATGAAGAAACCTTGTCGAGGCAGAACCGACGGTAGGGTTATTAAACACCACAAAGCTAATAAGAAAAACGATCCAAATTCCAAAACAGTCTCCATCACGCATCAAACCACGAGTCACCATGCAATGAACACAAAAATAGATGGCGAATAACGGGCCGTAAGAAAATATATTACTCAATTATATTAATCAACGGTACAAGCACCGTATATTAAAAGAAAATATAGAATATGAGAGTTTGAGTTGTTGAACCTCCTAAAGAACTTTACAAGCGTCATTGATTCTAACAAGAGTAGACATTATAAATACTTGAGATGGCACAGGCTAAAAATTATCAAAAACATGAAAAGTCCAAAACACCCATGCACTATGTTCGACGCGTGCTTAACCTGAGTGGCATTGGCCGATGCACCCCAAATAAGCCCGGATCAAGACACTCACAAGGGATTTGTAACATTCGGCTTCTTAAGACAGTACGGAAATCCTCATTATTATGATACATCATCAAGTACATATGGGTGATATAGCAGGGGTGGGCAAACACATATTTGGGCAAACTATGAGAGAATAGCCATAGATCACACGTACATGAAGAGAATCAGGCAAAAGAGGCCAACTTGGGTTTGGGAGGATTGAGCAAGCAAAGGTCGAGGAGAGAATCAACCGAAGTGTAGGGATGGTCAGCATACAATGTGGAGGCCTCGACATCATCCTCCGTCATCTCAAAGCCCGTCTGCTCTCCTTTTATGAATATGTTGTGAAGTATCGCCACCGGTATATTGTCCGGATGTGGCAGACCTGATGATCAGTAAATCAAACCACAAAAATTAGGAGATGATTACTTTCTAATTATAACGATTGCCTACGTGTCACGCAACATATAATATGAGAGAGATCCTATTCTGTAGCACCATCAGAATTGATGTAGACTTGGCTTCGATTTGATCTTGACGAGATGTCATTAGTCATTACCCATGATTAAGTCTCTATGAGTGTAGGCGAATAACAATACATTTTAATACGTGATCGCTCACATTAAAACCTTCGGACAATGTTAAATTTTGTTATCTTAACGGAATGACAACCTCGTGAAGCGCATAATTAATGAGGATGCACGTATGGCTCTTTATTCTCTTGACCTCGTACTAGATTAAGAAACGAATGACTCTATTTCCCACACTCGGCAAATAAACATCCTCTCTCAAAATGAATCAACTAAGCACCTTGCGTTTGTCCTCATGATATAGTCAAAGCAGTAAAAACGCTGAATAGTATTGGGCACGAAGATTCAATGACATGTGCAATAGCTATCATGGCATCTTTAACATTGTGCAGAGAGATCTCAATAGAGAAGCAAATTAATAGAAAAACTCGGGAAATTTAACAAAAAAATCATAAATCTATTCCAATTGTGTCAATTCAGTCCTAAACTTTTTTTCGTGCCAATCGAGTCCTAAATCTTTTGCATTTGTACCAATTTAGTCCATCCAGCTAATTTTGACTGGCCGGCGCTGTCATGGACATTTTTTATAATATTTTAATTTTTTTTGAATTTTTAATTATTTTTGCTTTTTTCTTTTCTTGCTCTTTTTTTTTTCCTTCCTACTTCCTCTAGCCAATTGCCAAGCCGAGGCGACCAATCAGAGGCGAGGGTCAACGAGATCAACCTCGCCGACCCCAGCGAGGGGAGCCTCGTTATCGCTGCTCGAGGCTTGCCAATTCAGTCAATTTTGGCCAGCTAGCGTCGCCAGAGGAAGAAGGAAGGAAATAAAAAAGACAAAGAAAAGAAAAAAAAATAATTACAAAATTCGAAAAAATATTAAAATATTATTGAAAAAGTCCACATCGGCACCGGCTATGTCACGTCAGCTGATGTCGTGCCACGTTAGTGCCAGCCGGCCAAAATTAGTCAGATGGACTGAATTGGCACAAATACAAAAGGTTTAGGACTCAATTAACATAAAAAAAAAGGTTTATAACTGAATTGGCACAATTGCAATATATTTAAGGATTTTTATATAATTTTCCCGAAGAACTCAAATCTTACTTTCAGTGAGCTTGACCATATCCTCCTCTGGAATGTGTATCTTTTTAAGAGTCCGTTCAGTCTTTTTCTCCCACATGGAAATCAAGTCTAGCTGGGAAACGATGTTCCCTGGAGGTCGGTATATGATAACGCGGTTCGCCACTCTTGGATCTGTCGCTGCCTTTACCGTGTAGAACGCAACATCTTCCTCGTAATTTAGGACGGCTGTAGATTACAGTAGGAATGGGACATATACATTATAAAGAAGATTAACACGAAGTCTCTCTCTCTCTCTCTGCTATGCATATATCTTCTACATATGTATAGTAGATACCTACATATATCCGTACCTCTGGCATCGCCAGTTCCATGAATGACCACATGGTCGCACTGCTCACGGGGATGGAGCAAGTAATCCACAAAGTAGGCAGCGAAAGAGTTGGCAGAGACGTAGGTGTAGGGAATCCCCGCAGCCTCGGTCGCTCTCCTGATCTTCCTCTTGTTCTCCAGCAATGCTTCGAATGGCGGCAGCGCCCCTTTGACCCTGTCCACTTCGTTTCCATACTCCGACGGAACAAACCTCTTTACATTATACACACATTTATAAGTATGTACGAGGACTAAGCATGCGCCACTTGCATGCAGCATATACATCATTCAATATGAATTCTATTTAATTAGGATATGACTAGCTAATTTAATTTCACCTGGATGTTGGGGGCTTCTTTAATGGCATCGATGATCTTGAGTTGTTGGAGATGTTGAGGGACAGGGAGAGTCGAGATGACGACATCAACCCGCCGGAGTAGCGACACAAGCTTCTCATGCTCTTCCAATTCACCCTACACCACAGAAAACAAAGTATCTATACATATACACTCGAGAGTCTCACACACACACAAAAGATAATGAATGAATGAGAAAATTATTTCGGTCATAGGTACTTGGACAACGGTAACGTTCATCGATTCGAATTCATGGAGCAACCGTTGCTTGGAAGGATCGGGATTGCTGGAGCGGACATAAGCAAGAGTAGGGTGGCCCATGGAAAGGGAGGCCTTGACCATGAACTTGCCCAGGTATCCACTCGCTCCGAATATCAATATCTTCTCCTTCTCCACCTTCTTCTTGCTCATAACAGTAACATTAGCCATGGATTGGAAACCGTCGTCCTTCATATTCCCGTTATATTCTCAGCCTCGTACGTACCCCTCTCTCTCTCTCTCTCTCTCTCTCTCTCTCTCTCTCTCTCTCTCTCTCTCTCTCTCTCTCTCTCTCTGTGCGAGTCCATCTGCATGGCTGCAGGGCCTTTTTATATGCGAAAACTTCATTTGTTGGGCGAGGTCGATCACAGACAGTTTTGAGTACCAACCTAACTACCGCATCAGACTAGCCAAGCATCAATCACACCATTTGTCTAAATTGATTCTCACAATACCAAAAACATAATCCGATTAATCGTGTTTGACACATATATGCAAAACACAGTCTTGAAATGGACTTTAATCGTGTTAATAATCGATGAAGGGGCAAATTTTCAGCATGAAAACAATAAATAAAGATTTTTACCCTTTAGAAAGCATGAAAAGGAAATACGTTTATATAGTCATTGCCCTATTCAAGCCGACCCTTTTATGTAGGGGAAAAAGAAAAGAGAAATAATTAAGGGACGGTCCTTAATATACCGTGAAAACAATCGCGTGTTCTGGATCACAAAAAATAAATAAAAATAATCATAAATTGTTGTAGGGTTTACTTCTTCAAGAATTTATGGCTCACAATATATTATTACTCTCACAAGTGGCCAAAAATTACCGTGCTAGCAAAGCCGTAAAGAAAAAGAGTTGTTTGCAAGAGTTTCACAAACCTGTGCATTACAAATAACAATTTTATTTTATCCTTGCAAAGACTACAAAGAATTGTCAGGTTACACAAACCGGTTTAATTAGCACTAATCCCTTTATATTTTTTATTTTATTTCGCAAGGTTATTTTATTAATTTTTATTAGTTGAAAGGTTGTTTTTTGTTTATTAAGTAATTTTCGAAATTATGAAAATTCGGAATTATATATTTATTTATTTATTTATTTTATTCCGAATTTTACATGTGTCTTTTCAAGACAACTTTTGGAGATTATACTTGTTCAGTTTTCAATCTTTTCCGAAGGGTTGCATCTATTCAGTTTGCAACTTCTTCCGAAGGAATATCTTTGTTAGCTTCGCAACCTTTCGTGAAGAGTTGCCAATGTTCTTTAAGACCGATTTCTATATATGTCAGTTTTTGGCAAGAAAGAAAACAGAGATCAATTTCTTCGAGTCTTGTTTCGAAAACTACAGCCATCATTTCTTTTGTTTCCTAGAGAGACCCTGGAGAAATACTAGAATTGATATCTAGTATTCTCATTTTGAGACTTTGTTGTATCCTGGAGAAATACTAGAATTGGCACGTGAAGCCATAGTAAAAGGTAGAAGTGAAAGGTAGGAGCATGGACGTACAAGGCCTCTCCCTACAACAACTCACAGAAAAATTGTCCAAAAAGTCTTAAATCTATTATATTTTTTTCAATTCAGTCGTAAACCTTCCAATTTTACCGATTGAGTCTTAAACATTTTCGCTTCTTGCCAATTGAATCCAAAATATTTTCACTTCTTGCCAGTTGAGTCTATCCAGCCAATTTTGATCGGAAATCATTGACATGCCACTGCCGGTGCTAACATTGATCATTTTTAATAATTTTATTATTATTTTTTCGATTTTTCGATTATTTTTTTTATATTTTCTTTTTCTTTTTCCTTTTTATCATTTCTCTTCTTTGTTTTTTTTTTTTCTTCTTCCTTTGGTCGCAAGCCTCCTTGATGGCCGGTGACTAGCGACAGGGGAGAACCGGCGAGGCTCCCCCTCATCGAAATCTGGCCAGGACCGACCTCACCAGCCGAGTGAGGGTCGCCTCGCAGAGGCGAGGTCGCCAAGGCAAGCGAGGGTCGACCTAGCTGGCCTCGAGCAAGGCTCGCCCTCGCCAGATCCGGGAAGGGTCGGCCCCGCTAGCTTCGAGCGAGGCTCGATAGAGTAACTTCTGGCAAGGTTGACCCTCGCCAGCCTCAGGCAAGGTTCGACTTTGCTGGATGTGGCGAGGGCGAGCCTTGCTCGAGGTCAACGAGGTCAGCCCTCACCAAATACAGGCGAGGGGACTTCACCCGCCTCGGCGACCTCACCCCTATCAGGCACTGCGAGGCAATCCTCGCTTGAATGGCGAGGTCAACCCTCCCCAGTGGCCGACGAGATCAGCCCTCACCAGATCCGACGAGGGCAAGCCTTGCCGGCTCTCCCCTGTGGTCGGTTGCCAGCCATTGAGGAGGCCAATGACCGAAGGAAGAAGAAGATGAAAAAAAAAACAAAGAAAAGAAAAATAAAAATCAAATTAAAAAATTTTATTAAAAAATCATAAAAAAATTATTAAAAATTATTCACATCAGCACCGACAATACCACGCAGGACGGTCGACGTCCACATCAATAATTTTCGGTCAAAATTGGCCGGATGGACTCAATTGGCAAGAAGTGAAAATATTTAGGACTCAATTGGCTAAAGTGTAAAATGTTTAGGACTTTTTGGACAATTTTTCCAACAACTCACAATCTCTAAATAAATATGTGTTTGAACTTAAGAGGAAGGTATATATGTTTCTAGGAATATTCTTTCAACTGTATGTCAAGATATAAGTGTGGGATGCATTCTGCTCTCCATCAACTTTGAATCGATTGGCTTGTGCACAATTAGTTTGGCTCTCCATTTCGAGGACTTCCGGGTAAATTAGCTTATGTAAAAGCTGTTCATGAAGAAACCTTGTCGAGGCAGAACCGACGGTAGGGTTATTAAACACCACAAAGCTAATAAGAAAAACGATCCAAATTCCAAAACAGTCTCCATCACGCATCAAACCACGAGTCACCATGCAATGAACACAAAAATAGATGGCGAATAACGGGCCGTAAGAAAATATATTACTCAATTATATTAATCAACGGTACAAGCACCGTATATTAAAAGAAAATATAGAATATGAGAGTTTGAGTTGTTGAACCTCCTAAAGAACTTTACAAGCGTCATTGATTCTAACAAGAGTAGACATTATAAATACTTGAGATGGCACAGGCTAAAAATTATCAAAAACATGAAAAGTCCAAAACACCCATGCACTATGTTCGACGCGTGCTTAACCTGAGTGGCATTGGCCGATGCACCCCAAATAAGCCCGGATCAAGACATTCACAAGGGATTTGTAACATTCGGCTTCTTAAGACAGTACGGAAATCCTCATTATTATGATACATCATCAAGTACATATGGGTGATATAGCAGGGGTGGGCAAACACATATTTGGGCAAACTATGAGAGAATAGCCATAGATCACACGTACATGAAGAGAATCAGGCAAAAGAGGCCAACTTGGGTTTGGGAGGATTGAGCAAGCAAAGGTCGAGGAGAGAATCAACCGAAGTGTAGGGATGGTCAGCATACAATGTGGAGGCCTCGACATCATCCTCCGTCATCTCAAAGCTCGTCTGCTCTCCTTTTATGAATATGTTGTGAAGTATCGCCACCGGTATATTGTCCGGATGTGGCAGACCTGATGATCAGTAAATCAAACCACAAAAATTAGGAGATGATTACTTTCTAATTATAACGATTGCCTACGTGTCACGCAACATATAATATGAGAGAGATCCTATTCTGTAGCACCATCAGAATTGATGTAGACTTGGCTTCCATTTGATCTTGGCGAGATGTCATTAGTCATTACCCATGATTAAGTCTCTATGAGTGTAGGCGAATAACAATACATTTTAATACGTGATCGCTCACATTAAAACCTTCGGACAATGTTAAATTTTGTTATCTTAACGGAATGACAACCTCGTGAAGCGCATAATTAATGAGGATGCACGTATGGCTCTTTATTCTCTTGACCTCGTACTAGATTAAGAAACGAATGACTCTATTTCCCACACTCGGCAAATAAACATCCTCTCTCAAAATGAATCAACTAAGCACCTTGCGTTTGTCCTCATGATATAGTCAAAGCAGTAAAAACGCTGAATAGTATTGGGCACGAAGATTCAATGACATGTGCAATAGCTATCATGGCATCTTTAACATTGTGCAGAGAGATCTCAATAGAGAAGCAAATTAATAGAAAAACTCAGGAAAATTAACAAAAAAATCATAAATCTATTGCAATTGTGTCAATTCAGTCCTAAACTTTTTTTCGTGCCAAACGAGTCCTAAATCTTTTGCATTTGTACCAATTTAGTCCATCCAGCTAATTTTGATCGTCACGTATTGTCATGGACATTTTTATAATATTTTAATTTTTTTTGAATTTTTAATTATTTTTGCTTTTTTTCTTTTCTTGCTCTTTTTTTTTTCCTTCCTTCTTCCTCTGGCCAATTGCCAAGCCGAGGCGACCAATCAGAGGCGAGGGTCAACGAGATCAACCTCGCCGACCCCAGCGAGGGGAGCCTCTTTATCGCTGCTCGAGGCTTGCCAATTCAGTCAATTTTGGCCAGCTAGCGCCACCAGAGGAAGAAGGAAGGAAATAAAAAAGACAAAGAAAAGAAAAAAAAATAATTACAAAATTCGAAAAAATATTAAAATATTATTTAAAATGTCCACATCGGCACCGGCTATGTCACGTCAGCTGATGTCGTGCCACGTTAGTGCCAGCCGGCCAAAATTAGCCAGATGGACTGAATTGGCACAAATACAAAAGGTTTAGGACTCAATTAACATAAAAAAAAAGGTTTATAACTGAATTGGCACAATTGCAATATATTTAAGGATTTTTATATAATTTTCCCGAAGAACTCAAATCTTACTTTCAGTGAGCTTGACCATATCCTCCTCTGGAATGTGTATCTTTTTAAGAGTCCGTTCAGTCTTTTTCTCCCACATGGAAATCAAGTCTAGCTGGGAAACGATGTTCCCTGGAGGTCGGTATATGATAACGCGGTTCGCCACTCTTGGATCTGTCGCTGCCTTTACCGTGTAGAACGCAACATCTTCCTCGTAATTTAGGACGGCTGTAGATTACAGTAGGAATGGGACATATACATTATAAAGAAGATTAACACGAAGTCTCTCTCTCTCTCTCTGCTATGCATATATCTTCTACATATGTATAGTAGATACCTACATATATCCGTACCTCTGGCATCGCCAGTTCCATGAATGACCACATGGTCGCACTGCTCACGGGGATGGAGCAAGTAATCCACAAAGTAGGCAGCGAAAGAGTTGGCAGAGACGTAGGTGTAGGGAATCCCCGCAGCCTCGGTCGCTCTCCTGATCTTCCTCTTGTTCTCCAGCAATGCTTCGAATGGCGGCAGCGCCCCTTTGACCCTGTCCACTTCGTTTCCATACTCCGACGGAACAAACCTCTTTACATTATACACACACATTTATAAGTATGTACGAGGACTAAGCATGCGCCACTTGCATGCAGCATATACATCATTCAATATGAATTCTATTTAATTAGGATATGACTAGCTAATTTAATTTCACCTGGATGTTGGGGGCTTCTTTAATGGCATCGATGATCTTGAGTTGTTGGAGATGTTGAGGGACAGGGAGAGTCGAGATGACGACATCAACCCGCCGGAGTAGCGACACAAGCTTCTCATGCTCTTCCAATTCACCCTACACCACAGAAAACAAAGTATCTATATAAATACACTCGAGAGTCTCACACACAAACACAGACACACACACACAAAAGATAATGAATGAGAAAATTATTTCGGTCATAGGTACTTGGACAACGGTAACGTTCATCGATTCGAATTCATGGAGCAACCGTTGCTTGGAAGGTTCGGAATTGATGGAGCGGACATAAGCAAGAGTAGGGTGGCCCATGGAAAGGGAGGTCTTGACCATGAACTTGCCCAGGTATCCACTCGCTCCGAATATCAATATCTTCTCCTTCTCCACCTTCTTCTTGCTCATAACAGTAACATTAGCCATGGATTGGAAACCCTCGTCCTTCATATTCCCGTTATATTCTCAGCCTCGTACGTACCCCTCTCTCTCTCTCTCTCTCTCTCTCTCTCTCTCTCTCTCTCTGTGCGAGTCCATCTGCATGGCTGCAGGGCCTTTTTATATGCGAAAACTTCATATGGTGGGTGAGGTCGATCACAAACAGTGTTGAGTACTATCCCAACTACCGCACCAGACTAGCCAAGCATCAATCACACCATTTGTCTAAATTGATTCTCACAATACCAAAAACATAATCCGATTAATCGTGTTTGACACAGATATGCAAAACACAGTTTTGAAATGGACTTTAATCGTGTTAATATTCGATGAAGGGGCAAATTTTCAGCATGAAAACAATAAATAAAGATTTTTACCCTTTAGAAAGCATGAAAAGGAAATACGTTCATATAGTCATTGCCCTATTCAAGTCGACCCTTTTATGTAGGGGAAAAAAAGAAAAAAGAACTGATTAAGTGGCGGTCCTTAATATATTGTGAAAACAATAGCATGTTCTGGATTACAAAAAATATATAAAAAATAATCATAAATTGTTGTAGGGTTTACTTCTTCAAAAATTTATGATTCACAATATATTATTACTCTCACGGTGGCCAAAAATTACTATGCTAGCAAAGCCAGAAAAAAAAAAAAAGAGTTGCTTGTGAGAGTTTCACCAACCGTGCATTACAAATAACAATTTCATTTTATCCTTACACAGACTACAAAGAGTTCTCAGTTACACAGACTGGTTTGGATATATAGTGTGAAGGCAATTTTTTAGGAGAAAAATCTAATAATTTATAATTCAAATCTATATAGGATATGCATCTCAGATACCTTGTCCTGTTTGCACAAACTATGCATATCATTAATCAACGATAATAAGGATGTTCTGTCGTGTATTGGGAGAGTCATATCGTCATGGTGTCACCAACCCTGCAAGTACATAGAATCGTCAACTGCGAAATATAAGAAGAATCCACGCTATTGGCTTTCCGTCCATCGTCAGCCACTGCCAGCGTAACTTTTTCGCAAGCACGGACGGACCGGAATCTCAGGCCAGTGTACATGCGGGGTAGCAAACGGTCACTGTCGCACTATGAAAAAACTTATATTTTTTTGGGATAATGACAAAAAAATCCATGAATTTTAGCCCGAAGTGCAATGTGATCTTTGAACTTTTAATTTGTTCAATATGATCCATGAACTTTACCCCAATGTGCAATGTGATCTCTGAACCTTTAATTTGTTCAATGCGGTACTTGAACTTTTGGTACATGTTCAATTCAGTCCCTAAACTATATGAAAATATTTAATGTTGTCCTTCCATCAAATCAAGTTCAGGGATAATATTGAATATTTTCATATAGTCTAGGGACTATTGAACATATACCAAAAGTTCGGAAATAACATTGAACAACTTAAAAGTGTAGGGACGGCATTGCACATTGGGCTAAAGTCCAAGAGTCACATTGCACAAATTAAAATTTCAGAAATCACATTGCACATTGGGACAAAGTTCATGGACCATTTGTGTCATTTTCCCGATTTTTTCCTGTGACTTTCTTCATGAATAGTAAGTTTGAATTATCAAGTCACTATAGTAAATGTTTTTCTATGCACTCAGTAATCTTGCACATTACCAAAGAAAGTACCTATTCTTGGCTAGTGATATTCTTTAATGATTAGAGGGATACTATGAAAAATATAACTTCCAACCTATCATAAAGTAGTTTGTTCTAATTACTTGGTATATTGAATACTTTCCTAAGTAAAGATTACTACGCCGGAAGTTACTTTTCTCTATAAACCATATAAAGTTTCAGCAATCAAAGTTATTCAAAGTGCTCTATAACATTTAAGGAGCCAAAAATCACTTGATGTGTTAAGTGAGGAAGGGATACTTAATTTGTTTAATGAAAGAACTACTTTATGAAAATTAAAATCTTATCAATTATGTAATTATAACCTGACGATACGCTCATAATTTTATGTTTGTTAAGAAGCTACTCATATCCATCAATCAATTTCATCTATTATCAAATAATCTTTTATTTCCATTCTCAAAACTTTTAGTTATAAACACTTCATATTCCGAGGTTTTTTTTTTTTTTTTGAGGGGGGGCTCAGAATTCCGAGTTTAAGGATGTGCGTTTGTATGGGGGAAAGTGCTTTCCGGGAATTCGTTTTTTGGACTTTCACCCGTTTTATTCGCCAAAAATGATAAGTCAATCGAAAATATTTTCCGGTCAAAGAAGACATTCACTTTATGGAAATGAGTGACGGTCAAAAGCTAGCACCAAAATTTTCCTTTCGCCAACACAAGCGCATGGAAATTTCCAAGCCAAACACAGGTCTCTTTCTCTCTCATGGAAATGTGTGGCTGACGGTTGACCATCAATTTTTCAAGATAACGGTACGGTTATGCAAGCGTTTTCCTTTAATGGATGAAAAAGTCATGATTTTTTCACAAAAGATTTTTCCACCAATCCTTGAGACTACTAGTAAATCTGCTGACGAACTCGAAAGTGAATTCTCTAATCCAAGAAGGAGAAAACACTTCCAGAAATTGTTCATCTTTTTAATATTTTATATTTTCTTTTCAATTCTTTTTGTCTTTTTTTTCTTTTTCTTTTATTTCTTTTTATTTTTCCTTCTTCTTCCTTCGCCGGTCGCCAGCCTTTGTCACGGCCGGCCTCAAGCGAGGCCAAGCTCGCCAGATCCTGGCGAGCTAGAGCCTCGCCAACCTCTCCATGCCCAGCGGGCTTACGCCTTACACTTGCAACCTCGACCTTGTCGCCTTGCGACCTGGCCTTCGAGCTCACGCCTCGACCTCACCCGATGCCGGCGAGCTCAAGGCTCGGCCAATCCAAGCAAGCCCGATCTCCGCCGAGGCCGGCAAGTTGGAGTTCGCCAACCCGAGCTCCGTTGAGGCCGGCTAGCTCGCGGTTCGCCAAATCCAGGGCTAGCTCGCGGTTCGCCAAATCCAGTGCTAGCTCGCGGCTCGGGCGAGGCCGGCAAGCTCGAGCTTGCCTATGGCCGTCGCCGGGTGAGCCTTGAGCTTGCCTGTGGCCATCGCCGGCCGATCGTGGTAGAGGAAGGAGGAAAAAGAAAAGAAAATTAAAAATAATTAATAATTCAAATTTTTTAAAATAATAAAAAAATTATGAAAAGTTTCGATTGTTTTTTTTTGCCCGAAATAAAGTTTTGAGCTTGAACTATGAAAAAACCTATTTTTTTTGGGATAATGACACGAATGGTCCTTAAACTTTTAATTTATTCAATATAGTTCATAAACTTTACCCCAATGTGCAATGTAGTCTCTAAACTTTTAATTTGTTCAATACGGTGCTTGAGCTTTCGGTACATATTCAATTCAGTCCTTAAACTATATGAAAATATTTAATGTGTTCCGTCCATCAATTCAAGTTCAGGGATAATATTGAATATTTTTATATAGTTTAGGGACTATTAAACATATACTAAAAGTTCGGGAATAACATTGAATAACTTAAAATTGTAGGGACGGCGTTGCACATTGGGTTAAAGTGCAGGGGCACATTGAACAAATTAAAATTTCAGGGACCACATTGCACATTGGGACAAAATTCATAGACCATTTGTGTCATTTTCCCGATTTTTTCCTATGACTTTCTATATGAATAGTAAGTTTGAATTATCAAGTCACTATAGTAAATGTTTTTCTATGCGCTCAGTAATCTTGCACATTACCAAAGAAAGTACCTATTCTTGGCTAGTGATATTCTTTAATGATTAGAGGGATACTATGAAAAATATAACTTCCAACCTATCATAAAGTAGTTTGTTCTAATTACTTGGTATATTGAATTACTTTCCTAAGTAAAGATTACTACGCCGGAAGTTACTTTTCTTTATAAACCATATAAAGTTTCAGCAATCAAAGTTATTCAAAGTGCTCTATAACATTTAAGGAGCCAAAAATCACTTGATGTGTTAAGTGAGGAAGGGATACTTAATTTGTTTAATGAAAGAAATACTTAATGAAAATTAAAATCTTATCAATTATGTAATTATAACCTGACGATATGCTCATAATTTTATGTTTGTTAAGAAGCTACTCATATCCATCAATCAATTTCATCTATTATCAAATAATCTTTTATTTCCATTCTCAAAACTTTAAGTTATCGACACTTCATATTCCGAGGTTTTTTTTTTTTTTGGGAGGGGGGGTCAGAATTTCGAGTTGAAGGGTGCGTTTGTTTGAGGGAAAGTGCTTTTTGGGAATTTGTTTTTCGGACTTTTACCCATTTGATTCATCGAAAATAATAAGTCAATCGAAAATATTTTCCGATCAGAGAAAATATTTATTTTTATGGAAATGAGTGACGATCAAAAGCTAGCGACAAAATTTTCCTTTCTTCAACACAAGCATGTGGAAATTTCCAAGCGAAACACGGGTCTCTTTCTCTCTCATGGAAATGTGTGGCTAAGGGTTGACCATCCATTTTTCAAGATGACGGTACGGTTATGCAAGTGTTTTCCTTTAATGGATGAAAAAGTCATGATTTTTCCACAAAGAATTTTTTCACCAATCCTTGAGGCTACCAGTAAATCTGCTGATGAACTCGAAAGTGAATTCTCTAATCCAAGAAGGGGAAAACACTTCCAAAAATTGCTCATCTTTTTAATATTTTATATTTTCTTTTCTTCTCTTTTTGTCTTTTTTTTCTATTTTTCTTTTCTTTTTTCTTTTTCTTTTCTTTCGTTTTATTTTTCCTTCTTCTTCCCTTCATCGGTCGCCAGCCTTTGCGATGGCCGGCCTCAGGCGAGGCTGAGCTCGCCAGATCCTGGCGAGCTAGAGCCTCGCCAATTTCTCCATGCCCAGCGAGCTCACGCCTCACACTTGCAGCCTCGACCTTGTCGCCTTGCGACCTGGCCTTCGAGCTCGCACCTCGACCTCGTTCGATGCCGGCGAGCTCGAGGCTCGGCCGATCCAAGCGAGCCCGATCTCCGCCGAGGCCAACGAGTTGGAGTTCGCCAACCCGAGCTTTGTTGAGGCCGGCGAGCTCGCGGTTCGCCAGATCCAGGCGAGCTCGCAGCTCAGGCAAGGCCGGCGAGCTCGAGCTTGCCTATGGTCATCGTCGGCCAATCGTGGTAGAGGAAGGAGGAAAAAGAAAATAAAAGTAAAAAATAATTAATAATTCGAATTGTTTAAAATAATAAAAAAAGGGTTAATACCATTAAAAACCCTAAACTGATACACTTGTGACACATTTACCCCAAACTATTTTTTTGACCATAAAAAACCCCAAACTGGTACACCTGTGACAATTTTACCCCGAACATACCACAAAAAACTCCAAACTGGTACACATGTGACAATTTTACCCCAACTAATTTTTAATATTATTTTTTTATTTTTTTGAATTTTTTTGAATTTTTCTTTTCTTTTCTTTT